GTACATATACTGCACCATAATGTTCAACCTTTTTAAATAAAACGGAGATTATCGAAGCAGCTCTACAGAGTGATTTAGATCAAATGGATGTTCTCTGCCATACAGATTTTTATTTTTTAAGGTTATTTCATAATAAACTTAGTATTTTCCAAATTCCAAACTTTTACCTCGCAGGCTATTATTGTAGAAAAAAGGAATCGCATAAAGGTCTTGCGTATGGAGGTTCTTGCATTTACGTTAGAAATAATATCGATTCTATTAAATGTGTATTCCGTTGAAAAAGTTTTTGAAAAATTTGTAGTACATCTTCATACGCTAAAAATTATATTACTTTGCTTCTACAGGCCTACAATAAAGAAAGTAGAAGATTATATTATATTCTTTAAAAAACGAGATAACATTGATTTTATCGAGATTTTAACATTGATTTTCTGATCGAATCTAGCGAGAAAGAGCAGTTTTTCAATTTAATTCATTCCTTGAGTTTAGATATTACAAAGGCTTTCGATCAAATAATAATTAATAAAACCACTAATCGATATGAAATTGAAACAAGATTTAGGACACAGTGACCTTGATGCAGAAATTCTTATCATTTCGAGAAATGCGAACACTGACGCATTAAATAATACACGTATGCGGAGATTATTTTCTAAAAGTAAAATGCTGCAAGAGTCGCTGTTTGCAATACTGTTGATACAGACGATAAATATAATTTTTTTTCAATGCTTTCATTTCATTTTACCCCTTCCTTTCCTCTTCAAAAAAAATTAAATATTTCACGGAAAAGCAATTTTTGGATAACATAAGGGATCACATAAAAATAAACGAATTCCTTCTCTCGTTTCTAAGCATCATAACGTATCTCAAGATTTCCTCCTCTACTTTAAAAAATACAAATCATAAGAAAAGTCATAAGGCAGGCGAAAATCATGAAACATGATCACGATATATTGAACTCAAATAATAAAACCAAAGCAATGTGGAATATAGTAAACAATTCGACCAAATCAACGAGAAACCTTCTATGAATATTGTTTTAAAACATTACGATAGACATGTGAACGATCCGGCAACAGTGGCTACTCTCTGCAACCAATACTTTTCGAGAATTGCTGTCGATCTCGCTAAGGGTATTCAACCACAAAATCCAACATCAGACGTTTTCCTAAAAACTTTAGACGCGATGATCGTTTACGAAACTTTTTCCAATGAAATTCTCAAAATAATCGGTAGGCTAAAAAATAAATATTCAGCCGGTATAGATGAATTTCAGGATTGTTTGTTAAAGACTTGTGTGCCCGCCATTATACACCCGTTAACTCACGTATTTAATATATCCTTATGTAGTGGCTTAGATTAAGATGCTCTTCAAAAACGGCAACAAAAATGAAATTTAAAATTCTCGGCCAATTTCTCTTTTGTCGTTTTTTTCAAAAATATTAGGGGGACGTATGTATGAATGAAAACCTTTCTTGGAACCTTTACTGGAATAATGGAGGATTATGTCCTTTCCAATTCTTTGCATGAAGAGTTCCGCAGGGAACGATTTTAGGCCCTATTCTCTTCCTACTATACGTAAACGATATGCTCTCGACGATTAGAAACGGAAGAACAGTTCTCTTGGCGGATGATACGAATATTCTTTGCAATAAAGAAACCGTAAATAGTACAATATCAGATATTTAAAATTGGTTCCATAATAACAAATTAATAGTAAATGAAAAGAAAACGGTTTCAATGCAATTTTCCATTTCAAATAAACAGCTCTGCACTTCACTGAAAATGAACGGTGTGCCATTGACTGTTGTTAAGGTAACAAAATTTGTAGGTCTTTCAATTCAATCAAACCTTAAACGGAACGTCCATTTAAATGAATTGCACACTAAATTAAGCTCCTTATGCTACGCTTTCAGAATTCTTTCAAATTCAGTCAGCCTACACATTGCTCGTTGTGTATATTTCGCGAATGTTCATTCCCGCCTGAGATATGGCATAATCTGGGGAAATACATCATATAGCTCCGAGACTTTCAGATTACAAAAAAAGAATCGTACGAATATTAAGCAAATCCCACCCACTGTTTCTTATCAGCCTCTCTTTATCAATCCAGGTATCTTACCATTACCTTGTCTCTTGAATTAGTGTTTTTTGTCAAAAATTTACTTACTTGAGGGCGGGGGCATATTTTCAGTATAAGCTGATGTCTATAACTACACACTAGACATTGTAATCATATTCATTAGGTGACAGTATCAACAAAAAATTCACACACAATACGTGTACATTACTTTACAACACCTTGCCAGATGACATTAAATGATTAAATTAGATACAAAAGTTTAAGTCCCAAGCAAAATATTTTCTGCTGCTCAACTGTTTCTATATAATTAGAGTCTATACCGAGCATTCAAAAGCAAAGTAATAATAATTTTCACAACGACATTTAGTGTATTATTTGCCATTTGGATTGTATAATTCTAAAGAAACTGTAACAAGTATTGTACTTCAGCTTTGGGTCAATAACCCCCAGATTTTCAATCAGGTTTTCGTCCAGTTTCCCTGATCCTTAAGCAAATGATGAGATGGCTCCTTGTTTTCTTTCTGGACATAAAAGTAACTTCAATTTAACTTCTTGCCATAGCACATCACACACAGATTTAAACTGTTTTTCACATAAATAAATAAACCACATAAGTATCTTGTCAAATTCTAAAACACCTAAATAAAGACGAAAAAGACACTATACAAATAAATAATATACCCGAAAAGCAATGGCTGAGATACTATAAGGAATTGTGGACTTCAAACACACAAGAAGAAAAACTCGCCGAACAAGAATTTGCAAACGTAGACCCATTAGAAATGAACGAACTCGAAGAGATACTTATAAAGTTAAAGAACAAAAAATCTCCAGGTAGGCATGGACTGATATATAGAATTACTCAAGTATGCACCTTCACAAATCAAACTAAAGGTTTCTCTTTATACTAATATAATGTTGGATTACATATCAAATCCCGAAGAATGGAGAAAGCCATTATACACCCAATATTTAAGAAAGGAAATAGAAAAGTGTTAGCAATTACAGAGGAATTAGCCTATTAAAACTCTGCCTACAAAATCTATCAAAAGTAATTACTAGGAGATAAATAAAATAAGTAATACCTACTTTCGGAATTCTCAAAATGACGTTCATGCGCAGATACATACTTATTGTACAACAATTGATCGAGAAAAGACGCGAATATAACCTTCCTACCTATATCCTGTTCATAGATTTTTGAAAAGGCCTTGACAAAGTCTCTCGGAATAAGTTTATGGAGTTTTATGCTAATAGTGGATACCCTAACCACATCTAGTAAACCATCAAAAGCTTATATTTTAAAAACCACTATCAGTATTGACAAAGGAACAGCGAACAACCTAACTGAATATACAACCAAGGAGTCAAACAAGTGGCCCGATGTCCCCGACCCTTTTAATAATTTAATATATTTATATATATATTTAATATATTAATTATCGATCATGTTATTCAAGAATGGCAAAGTAAACTAACCCACAGATTTTAAAAATAAGCAATACAATTTAAACACTACTCTATTTGCAGAATACCAGGCCATTTTTAGTACTTCAGAACACGACCTACAGAGAGGCTGCCCATTACCTCGAGTTAAACAGGAAAAAATTATAACTTGAAGATATCAAGCTCTAAAACCGTAAAACAATGACATTCCAGGAAAAAACCATATCAGGATGTAAAGTAGTGATAACGAAAAAAAGTATTGAACAAGTAAACAACTTTAATTATTTAGGATTTAACATCTCATACTGCGACAAAAAAAGATGTAAACCATAAAGATTCAAAAATTCCAGAAATTGTTGCGGTACTACACGCAGAGCGCTTAAACACAAAGACAGACAAGAACCCAACTAAATTACAAAAACTATGCAGTCCAAATGCTAACTTATGGATGCGAAACTGGACAGTCAATAGGTCAGACAGAAGAAAGATCGAAGCGGCAGAAATGAGATTCCTGAGACCATTAGCAGGGACACTAGCATATACACTACTAGATCATAAGAAGAAATGAAAGACATCCAGAGGTAACTACAGATCTCCAGCATACTGGAGAAGATCGACTCAACGAGGAAGAATTGGCTCGAAAACCAACCAGAATGCCACAAGAATGCTTCCCAAAAACTTATCCTCGAATACAAACCAAAGGAAACGATCCAGAGGCAGACCCACCACACAAGATGGGAAAAGACTCTTGAGAGCGGAACGGGCCACTAGGCCCAAACCTTGTTGCTGATGATGATGATGATGATGAAGTATCTTGTCAGACATTAACACTTTAACAAGGTCAGATCAAAGATCAGCAGAACATTAGGCATGTTCATGTCACAATTTGAAACTGCAATTCTGATTGAAGCATTGAGTCAGCTCTAAACCCCTCAGTCATCCAGATATGTACTATCCATGTGCATAACATCCAATAGTATATAATCTTTCAGCAACCTCATTTGTTAATATTTTCAAACAAATCTACAAGTTAAAAAAATTGTACTAAAATAGCAGTATTATAGTATATGACAAAGAGAAAGGTATTATAGTAATTCCGAATAAAATTATATACCCTCTATATTATTGCAAGCATCTTGATAAATTACTCCATTCAAACAGTATATTCATTCCTGAAAACTTTTAAAACTAAAAATAATAAACAATTCCGTCTTTGCTGTTTACCTTTTTTAAATTACACCAAGATTTCGTATCTATTCATATTCATAATTTTCTATGTGTAAGCTGATATCATTTTTCATCCTGTACTGACTAAAGAAAATTGCACAAGTTTGAAATTTTGAGAGAAAACTTGTGCATACCATAGCATAATCGATTTGGTAGGCTACATATTTACCTACAATATAGAATCAATCAGAATATAGAACCTACAATATTTATCTCACATACATAACATACCATGTTAATAGTAGCACAATTTGAACAGTGTGTTCATATTCACTGACAGAGAGAAATTGATTATAAAAGTGCAATGAAGTCTATGAAAGCACATCTCTTTAATGAAATTTCAAAATAAGCTACACAATTACATTTCTTATTATGAAAAAAATACATTTATGTACACAAGTTTTTGAGCAAATTACATTTAGCTGTTACAGAGAGAGCATTTCCTCTCTTCCTAATGCTCTACAATTCCAACAAAACTACTTTATTGTATGTTTAATTATAACAGACGTTAATATAGGTTTAATGAATATGCGCTATCCATATAAAAAATGAATTACATACTTCAATAAACAATTACTTTAAAACAAATGCAAATATAAGTTAAAACAAATCAAACATTAAAATGATTTTATATAAAATAGTACTATACGCTAGATTTATAAATGCATTTACTTATAGTCATCACATATAGTCATTTAGTAAAATGCCATGACCAGTCAATACAATAAAAGCCACTGACATTTTTATAAAAATGCAAACTGTAACGTATAGGCAACACAGAATCATGCAAACACAACAATTCTTACAGCTTAGTAAAAACAACTTGCAAAAATATTTAAAACAATACAAACACTAACCATTAAATGTTTTTAAAAATTTCTCTGAGCAAAAAAGTTTCTATCAGCTCATTTAAAAATTCTTAATAGTAAACAGTACTACTTTAAAAGTAAATGTCCTCTAGAAAAGTGTAGACTTTAGAGGATAATAATTGTTTGCATAGTGGATATCTCAAGCTGCTCAAATGCCATTATCCACTAATCTTGCACGCAAACAAGCACACTACACAATAATACCATGTATTCACCACTTCAATGATGAAATTTAAAAATTCATTCAATATGCATTCTAACAATTTGAGTATTTAAGCATTTTTAGGCATTATGAATATATAAAATATTATTTTCACATTATGTTTGCAATTGTAATTTTCTTTCATTAGGAACAATTATTTTTAATTACTGACTCAGTTTTCTTGAAAAATACACTCCAAATGGTTAGATCTAATTTTTTTCAACTACATAGCTTCATACTCACACAATAGCCATCTAAACCAAAATATAACATGTGTTATTTTAAATTTAATGATTAGCAAGATGAAATTCAGATAATTGAATTGTAATAACACAAAACCAAATTCAAATTCAACAATCATATTTGAACTATTTACTTCACAAAAAACATATTTCCATTTTCTATATTTCATACTTCCTTTTTTTAGTGACAAGACAAAGGTGATTCACATGGCATTAATGAGGACAAAAATATCTATCACTCATTTGTAGCAAAATTTTAATTTTTAAGAACTGGAAGCAGAACTTCATTAAGAGTTCATGAAGAAAGATTACACAATTGCTCAGTCTCGACTCACAGAAGATACTAGTAATGAAATAATCCAGCAACCAAATTAAGATATAATTGCAAAGCAAGACATATACTTGAAAAATCCTTCCTGGACATTACAATTATAATCTCAGTGGAAGAATGCAGTCATCATTCTCAATCATCTGATCCATAGTCTTATGTACAGAGAATTTATATTGTCCTTTAATGTTGTTTATGAAACAGAATCTAAATTGATAATACATTGATATTGATGTCAAATTTTAATGTTTTGTGCATCTGGTAATTTAAAAATGTGATTCTCTGCTAAAGTACTTTTGTAATGTGCTAAATACTTGAAAAACTTAAAGCCACAAAATTTAAGGATACTATGTTGTAATTTTGTATGTATAATATACATAAAAAAATTTGTCATTTTCCATCACAATTTGCCACAAAATATTTATTTATTTTTTTCATTTTATGCATCAAAGACTTGAGGGATTAAAGGGATCATTCAATTACCTACTATGATAAACAACAGAAATAGTAGTAGACCTAATTAAAAATTAGATTATCATTTTCATATTGAATACATTATTTCACCATTTCAAGAAATTAACAAGTAAGTCGTTTCCCTCTATTTTTTGTATAAAGGTATGTCATTCACTCAACAGAAAACTATGTATACTTTACTGGCATCACAAATACTGAAAGAAACAAATGTTTTTATAGTCTAATTCCATTGATATTCTGGAATTAGCTTATATCACAAAATATCTAAACACTTAACGGCAATATGAGACATGTATATTACTTTACAGTCTTGAATTTTTTATAATTTCATGCTCCCTTTAAATATTTCTAAACAATTAGTACCAATACTTTAAAACTCAAAAAGTTGTATTCTTATGTAACTAAAAAATTGTACATAGATATCCATAAATATACCATCACATGTATCCATTCAAAATTGTAGCATGTTTTAATTTCAAGTATTTTTTGCCTTGAAATTTCTTGAATATTGTAATATTCATTTCAATTCCATATTATTGTGAGTTAATATTTTGAACAATATTATTAATTGTTCAAGATGCACCACCATTTACTCCCTTCTTTTTCACAATCATGAAATTCAAGAATCCATCGACATCATTGATTTCTGAAGAACTAAACTTTGTCACAAGGGTAGCTTTCCCATCATAAGGAGGAATAAACTTGAATGTTGCTGATGATTCACCATTTACGCCCACATTCCTGGAAAAGAATTAGAGAAGAAAGTGAAAACAGTACTATAAATTGTTAAAAAGCAATATTAATTTTCAATTTTCTTTCTGTGAAATAGTTTCAACAGTTTTAAATATTCAAGAAAAAATAAGCCTATATGTTAGAGAATTCTTTGATTTCAGTTTTTTTTTTTTTTTTTTTTTTTTTTTTTTTTTTTTTTTTTTTTTTTTTTTTTTTTTTTTTGTTTTTGTTTGTTTTTACTTTTCAAGATATTGATTTGTATTCTATAGTATGTTAAACAAAATTTATTAGAGAGTAAATTTCTTTGTGAAATCTTTGTGATTGTGTTCTTCTATTGATCTTTTATTTCTTTTTATTATTCACAATCTTTCTACAAATTACGCTACAAGAAAGAAGAAATTATAACAGAATTTGAAAATCCCTTTCAAGTGCCACTGTACTCTTGGAAATGTATTCTTGTTTATTTGTAAAAAATGTTGTATTCATGTTTATCTGTTAAAAATTGATATAGTATTCCAGGAAATTCAATTGAACATTAACAGTAGCACAATAATATTCTTTTATTTATGGTGAATTTAAAAAATAAGTTTTATTTGTTAATTTATAGTAATTTACAAAGTGTTTGATTATGGTATTGAATTAATTTTCTTACTATAGAATATTCGTAATTTTTTTAAATTTGTTTACATGAATTATCGTTTTAGCTTTTAAAAGTATTTTGAACCTTTTTAATACAGATACTACAGTATTATTTACTTCAAATAGTGTATTAACTTCTAGTTGTTGTTACCCTAATTGGGGTCTTTTTCAGAAAATCTCAGGTCAATTTTTTTCCTTTAAATTTCTTGTAAGAATAGAGTAATGTAACATAAACTTAAAATGTAACATAGGTCCGATTTTCACGGCAAACTCTGAATTTTCGAAAATTTTAAAAGAATGAATTTTATTCGGTGTTGTCCTACAACTACAAAATTAAAGATACAGATCTTTCCTTAAAATAAAATTTGTTTTCTATAGTGAGTTCTTTCATTAAGGTCTTGAAATTTGTTTTGAAAATTTTCGTAGTTTTCACGCAATATTGCATGCAATATGTGCAAATTAATAAAATATTACAAAAATAAGATTTTCTCAAATACTGCTCCAAATTTTTGCTTGAAGCTTTTGGTAAGGATAGTGCTAAATTCACTCTAAAAGTTGACCTAGACGCCATAATACTCTATTCTTCTTTTTTTCTTAAAAAATTACAAAAACGTATTTTTGTACTTGTCTCTAATGCCGTTAATATTTATATTAATGGCACTTTGTTCACATTGTTGTATTTATAAGTACATCTTTAAATTACGTCACATAAAATTTCTCGAAAACTGAACCATTTTCTGAGAAAACTAGTTAAAAATTTCGTAGTCAGAAACTCTCAAACGCCATTTTCTTAAAAACCGTTCTAACCGTCTTCAAATATTTCGATCAGATAATGCTAATTGCACTCTTTAATATGACGTAAAGTTTATTTCGGTGTATTTTTTGTTTCTAAAAAAATTACACAAATATAATTTTTTGAAAAATCTCTCATGCCGTTAATATGCACATTTCCAACAATTTGTGATTTCCAACACTATTTTATTTGTGATTTAAAGTACTTAAAATGAAGTTTTTCGAAAACTCAAAAATTTTCTGTAAAAATCGAGCTTAAAATTTCGAATTTACAATAGCTCTTAAATGCTATTTTCTTAAAAACGGCTCCAAATTTTTAAAAGAAAATTGCAATTAGAACGAGGTTTTACTGGTATTTAATATTCTTAAAATAATATTTCCGTTCTACTATTAAGAAGCCAAAAATTTCAAAAAAATGTATTTTGGGCGGTGATAGATGGCAGTTGGCAAAAGTATGTGTCCAATCCGAGTAGCTAGATGTGACCAAACAATAGAAAACTAATCTGGGAAAGCCTGTGTCATTCTGTAGCATCACTGGTAATAGTTTAAAATTGTCGGTTCACAGTCGCTTAGCTTCCGTTTGTAGCTAAAAGGATTCTACCAACAAAAAAATTATCTACTATTTATATACAAACATTTCTTTTTCGTAACTACATAATTTAATAATAAATTTTGAGGCAATTTATGTTTTATTGTTGATTACAACATAAGTCTATATTCAGTTGTGAAAACTATTAAGGTGTTACATCGTCAGTATGCGTCTAAGAACAAACATGAAGAATCAAATGATTTAAATTGCTTACTACAGTGAAATGCGTACAAATATTGAAAAGTAAGAGTAAAGAAACGACTTTAGAACAAACTTGTCCTAAAAAAGTACTCAATTAACATTGTCTTCTCGCTGTTTGGAAATGCTATTCCGATTGCGAACCAAAGTAAAAAGTAAAATGAACCAATCTATGATTGTAAAATAGTGCGATCTGAGAAATATTAATTATTAAGAGGCTTATTTAGTACAGGGCATACTTACTCTTTCAGTTTAATTTTCAACTGAGAAGGTATTCCTGGACCTTCGATAGTAAACTTGGGTTTCTTCAAGGGCACCGGAAGAGGGTTCTTCACTGTTGCTACGGCAGTGAGTTCTTCGCCTTGAATGGCTTCACCTTCAAGCTGCAAAATTCAATAAATGTTAAGATCTTTAAATAAGAACAAATACCCATGGTGCTAGCCAAGAAAATACATTTTTGGTTACCGATATTTTGATTTCGGGATTCTTCACTCGGAAATCATCTTGAGCAAAATATTCGTACTCTGTATCTTTCACTTTAGCCAAACAAGATATGTTGAAGGCACAGTTTTCTACCAGTCGTTTTGAGTATTCATTGTATGTGACTTCCATTGAAACAGTCTCCACTGTAAAGAAAAGATCATTTTATTTTTCTGGGGAAAAATAGAGCGCGAAAGCAAACTAAATGTTCCGCATTTTGCATTTTCCTCACCTGATTTCGCCTTCACGGAACAATCAAAGTCTTCTGTCTTTACTGCACATTTGACAACACCAGTGTAAAGTACTACATCAACTCGAAGGACGCCACTAACAGAGTAGTCCTGGGTTTCACTTCTGTTCGTTATCCGGAGCACAACACTAGAATTCAGAAAAATTGATTTATCACAATCCATTTTAAAAAAGTAAACACAGTAACATCTTTGAGTAAATGAAATTTGTTTACCTAAATGGTGATCCAATGGTAATGTCATCTCTCATTTCAAAATCAAATCTCACATCGTTAAACTCCTCGTTAAGATAATATCTACTAAAAACCATCTCATTAGCACGAAGTGCTCTTAGCATTGTAGTCCGCTCAGCTTCGGAAGCTGCAAAAATATATTTTCTATAGGTACTTTCATGAAATCTCAAGAAAATTGGTGCCCTGAATAGATGCTCTATTGTGCATATAAATATGATATGTTACTCTAACGTCCGGGAAACCATTTCAACCATGATCCCCACCATGTAAGAGATATTAGTTAATGTGTAAATGCAAGATTTTAAAGAAATGATGAATAAAACCTTTGGGTATTTTCAGTTCTCAAGCATAAATTGTGAAATAAAAGCATACATCTTCATGAGTTATTATCAGCATTATTTCATTTTTCCGCAAATGCAGTAAGTCTGCCAACATGAAAACAGTGTATACGTATTAGACCATCCCAATTTTTTCGTGCACTTATATATTGGTACTATCAGATATTTTCGTTTTCATACTTTACACCTATTCCAAGGAAATTGAATGCGTAAACGTTTAAAATATTTAGAAAAAAACTCTGAAATAAATTGGGTGCCGGCATGCTTACGAGAGACCCAGCCTGACATGTATATTTTCATTATTCGGATTTCTCTCGGAATATAAACTTTATCTTGAAGAGATTTCATCTAGCGTCTTATTTCTTTTAGCACTATTAGTTTCATGCATTTTCATTTCACTCGATTAGAGGATATTGTCATGAGTTCATTGGCATTTATCTGAAAACTTTTAATGCACGAGTGATAATTAATAAGAATTTTTCAAATAAAATTATGCTGAGAAATAATTATGTGAAATGGGTTTCATATAATATATGTTAATGCGATAAATGTAAATATGATAATGTGATAAATGTTAATTATATCAATGAAACCTTAACTGATGAGTTATAACTTATGATTTATTTGTAGAGAGAAATGATAAGAAAATCGGATAAAAGGCACGACAATTTTTTGAGATACACAGCCCTCATTGAAGTATGTGAGACGCAGATAACATTGTTAAACGCTATTGGTGTTAATTTCATGAATGGAAAAAACTTCTAGATTATAAGACACCAGTAATGACATACATTCATTAATAACAAAATGTTTTCCTCGAGATTCCCCTACAGAGGTTTTATATTATCTTATACTTATGTACATTCGTCTTTTGTTTAATAAAGAGACGAATTTTCTCAAACTTATTTACAACAACATTCAATGACAAAATTAAAATTTATTATATAAAATAAAAAATCTGAATACTATTCCAATTTTTTTTAAAAAAAATACTGTTAACAAAGAAATGAAGAGATAAAGAGTTCATAAACTGTGATTTGTACTCACTTTCAGGATGCTTGTAGTTAGAGGTGATGTCTTCTCTTTCCCATTTGCCAATGGCTTTTGTGCTAATGAGCGTGCCAATTCTGCAAAGGAGGAATTTCATATGTGAAATAAATTAATAAATTTGCATTAAATCAATTCGCCTTCCACCTTGCATTAAATCTCCTCGCCTTCTCGGTATGCCTAATCTTCTAGTTTTCTAAAAATGCATTAATATGAAATAACATTTTTCTTTAATAAATTAAACCGTGCTATCCACATATTTCAAGATATAAAACTACCTCTAATTTGCATAACACCAAATGTCAATCTTATTGGTATGGCTCAATAACATCCAATACGAGAAATTAACTAAACACCCAAAAGCCCTTCCCCTATGATCTCGGGCTGCCAGGTCGCAATCACCCCGAACCTCAAATTGGGCTGTAGCGCTACAGGTAGAAAATTCGCGTATATCACATCTGGTGTCTCACTTGATTCTTGAATCAAAAGTGAGTTCCTTTTCATTTGACACCATTCTTTACCCTCTCCAACCACTTCACTAGGGAATAAGGCTGAATGGTCGAGATAAGAGAAGAAATGTGCCGCGTAACCTCATCAGGTCTGGAATTTGGGAAAAACACTTAATCCATGATCCAATTTGCCAGTACTGCGAGATCACGCTTTTAGGCCAAGGCTCTAATATTGGTTAATGCTTCAAAGAAAGAAGGTGCACAAGAAATGAAGAAAAGAAGAAGAGGGAGAAACCGAGAAGAGAATGAAAAAGAGGAGGAAGAAAAAAAGGAAGGAGAGGAAGAAGAAGAGGAAAAAGTATAGGGAGGGAGGAGAATAGGAAGAGGAAGAAGGAGGGGAGGCGAAGGAGAGGATGAAGAAGAGTACCAAGGAGAAGAATAGGATGGAAAAGAGGAGAAATACGAAGGGAGGAAGGAGAGGAATAAGAAGGGATCAGGAAGAAGAGGAAGAACGATGCGAGGAAGAAAATGAAGACGGATGGGAGGAAGGAGAGGAGGAGAAGCACGAAAGAGGAGACGCCGACGAAGCAAATGAGGATGCAGCATACGTACGATTGCGAGTCCTTGCGGATGAGCTTGAGGGGCGCGTTGGGGCCCGTGTAGTGCCAGAAGACCTTGTCGGCGTTCACCTCCGCGAAGACGAACCCCCCGTCGTAAGGCCTCTTCACCTCGCCTCGCTTGATGGCGGCGATGGACGCGGGGCCCATGCGGTACATGTTGTTGCTGAGCTCCTGCGGCGTGGAGTCGATGGCCTGCCAGCCACCGTAATCGCCTTCGCCCAGGTCCGGACGTTCCATCCACACCTCGTTCCACACGTGGAAATTCCTGCGGCCGGGAACGACCTTTCAGATGATGCCTAACTTTTCAATGGCAACATTCGTACGAACTCTTAAAATAGTGCACGGTACCTTGATGATATCCTACACTTCATAGTCTACTTATGCACTCTTTTTAATGCGGACAAAACATATTTCCGGTGTTATTTATATTTTATTTTACATAAAAACAGGTCAACTCACTATCATAAAATGAGTTAAACTAACAAATATGTCTTCGCTCTGAAATATAGATTTCCGTGTTTCGCGAGCTTCAGGTATTTTGAACGAACATAAGATTGATTTACTCGTATTCCCTTACTTTTAAACTATTTCATTGATTACATATAGACACTTACACAAAATCTTTATTTCAGGTGGATCGTCTATCACGGGTAATCACACACCTTGCGACCCCTGTAAACCGTCAAATTCATGAGTGATGGTTCGCCTGAGTTAAAAAAAAAATAATCTGATGCTTTTCATCCCCTTATGAGATATTGATGACCAGTGCAAGGAGCTGATACCTGACTTTTCTGATCATCTATTAAGTAATGATTAAGGTTTTTGCCTTCCTCACAATAATCACAATACTTGACACGGAATCCAAACTTTAGAGCAATGCTATTTACCGTCTTAAGTAATATAGATCCACCAAACATCCTTCAAAAGAATGCCTTGCTGAGAAACGTACATCGAATAGGTCGAAAGTCAAACTATAATCCAAGAGATTATCACAAATACATTTTGCCGCCTCATATCTCGACACCCATCACTAAGCACTGCAAGAATGCTAATACCGCACAATGTGACTCCCAGAACTCCCAGATAGGTAAGTGAAAGAAGTGGACACGACTCTCTCCTTAGTTTCAACAATTTCCGGAAGGTTTTGATGTTTATGCTCACGTCTCCACACAATCAGAGCATTCTGAGGAAGATGTGAAAACATGCAATGCCATGGGAAAATGTTACCATCCTCAAACTGAGGGGTAGTGTTGAGCGGTAGAATTTTGAAACAAATTATTTTTGAAAGCAAACATCCACTGTTCATTGGTTGCATTGAAGGCATTCAATACGGCGCAGCTGACTCTTCTGTTTGGATGTTGCAATATAATTTGTTTTCTGATCAGTGATTCATTTTTGTTTCGTAAAACAAATGGCTGTTTTTAATGCATACTAATTGTCATTTTCAATTTTACTATATTCTTTTAGTTTAAAGAAATTTGTATATATTGCCAAAACTTAACAACTGTGTAGTTATATTAGACTGTCTATGATATTTTCCAACAGAGCGTGAGCTTATAGCTCACTTACTTTAATTAAAAGGCAAAATACTTTCTCGTAACACGTGACGAAATATAATAGTATTGTCTTTCGAAAAAAAAACAGCATAACGTACACACAGGCTAATCTGTCCTTCCTTTTAATAAATGCGTCCGGAATGATATAGTTTATTAGATGAACAATATTTTATAATATTTTTTAAGGTCCTGAAGGGATTGGTTCCTTCATAACTGATTGGAACATTTTGAAATGTTTTCATTATTTAAATAAATGGCTTCACGAGTGATAATATCTCTTGATAGTTTAATAAGCAGAAAATGTTTATTTATTTACTCCCATCATTAAAATTTAATCACTATACGTACCATACAGAATCACTCTTAAGTTCATCCATCTCTTTGCCACGATCATCGAAGTAGTAATCAATAGTGAGGCTGCCTTCTGTGTCGTGGGCCGAGTTGTAGTTTGTCACTGGGCGGCATGGAATTCCAAGCGCTCGGCATACTGAAAAAGGCCGTAAAATTGAAATACAACAAAAAAGATTGCTGTAGACGTCAAGTAAAATGTAGCATAATCAAAAATTTTTCATGTACACACGTTTCGTGAAAATTGTTTTCGAGAAAAATTATTGTAAGCTGTACGATGGAAGCAGTCGCAAATCTCCTAAGCCACACGAGTGACTGAATAGATATTTTCTTTACAAAACGTCTCACAGTCTCGACGGTGGCGGATTTTCGAAACAATTTATACAATAAACAATTTATTTCGCCGAATCCAGCCCTGTCTGGAGGAGAATTCTACCGCTGGCTGCTTTAATCGGTACTTTTCCGTAGTTTCTACGATCAATTCCAGGCGAATGCCGGAGCAGTATTCTAACAAAAGGGTCAAGTACCACGATCGTTCTTTCTTTCCCTGTCCTCAGAGGCGGGATTTCCGACCTTTTATTGGGGAGGGAGGGCAAATTTGGGCGCTATTATAAACACGGAAATATTCGTTTATATTAATGCTTTGTTTGTATTAACACTTTGAGTTAATTGTGCTGCAATTATACACATTGTTTTCAATTTTGTTAATTATTTAATTGATTATTATTGAATGTTATTACTAATTAGATTAGTTGAAAAAAGATACAATTCTCAATGTTATTTGAACGGTCGAACTGATAATTCAATGATGCAGTTTTCTCAGTGAATCATATACCAAAATACCGAAAGTGTTTATCATTTAGTATGATCAGAAATATTTATCCATAACAGTAGGATACATATTTTAAAATCTACATTAATACAATATTTTACTTAAAGTGCAAGTTGCAACTGCGGAGCGATTTTTTAAAAATTGAAAGTTATCGGAACAGGAGAGTCTGGCAGATATTAGCACACTATTCATATAGAGTAAAGTAACGATCTAGTTAAAAGCGAACTTGGGAGACTTTATAGATACGTTCGTCAAAGCGAAGGTCCGCAGAGCTCAATTGCAAATTTTTTGATTTAATGATTAATAAAGTTTCTTTCAAATAGTTTTCGGAATGCGTTTTGTTAATTGAGCACTTCTTTTGGGGCGGCGCAATTACGTTTTTGGACTGGGGCCCCGGAAGGGCTAGTTACTTTTTCTCTCTTCACTTCTTCAGGCCACAACAGTTGCATTGCTAATGCCAGGTAACAGGAATCGGTGAGTGGTTAGTCTGTCCCAAGTTTCACAAGAAATACGAAATGTATATCCTGCTCGGTCTCCTCTTAAAACACTAACAACAATATTTGAATTAGGAGACGTGAAAAGTCTCTTTGAGACGACTACTAGCAAGATTGCGAAAATGGAATCAAAGTGATAGAAATATGAGGAAAATTCATAAAAAGGTATGACCATAAAATGAAATATAAATAAAAAATGACAAAAGGTTTGAAATGCAATTACGTTTTTGGACTGGGGCCCCGGAAGGGCTAGTTACGCCACTGGGTAGAACATTTTCTCTCTTCACTTCTTCAGGCCACAACAGTTGCATTGCTAATGCCAGGTAACAGGAATCGGTGAGTGGTTAGTCTGTCCCAAGTTTCACAAGAAATACGAAATGTATATCCTGCTCGGTCTCCTCTTAAAACACTAACAACAATATTTGAATTAGGAGACGTGAAAAGTCTCTTTGAGACGACTACTAGCAAGATTGCGAAAATGGAATCAAAATGATAGAAATATGACGAAAATTCATAAATTCGAAAATTCATGACCATAAAATGAAATATAAATAAAAAATGACAAAAGGTTTGAAATGCCAAAAGATGACTGTACATGAGTTGCAATTGCATGATTTTAGAGATTGTGGCTTAAATTATTTGTTTGAAAGCGCGTCGGCCCATGGCCTACCAGTGACGTCCTACCGTTGCAGTCATGGGGTTAAGGGGCCACGTGTGGCTAGCATGAAGACATCCCCACGCCGCATTCTGATCTTCCGAACCTGAGAAGTCAATTTTCTCATGGTCACACAGCAACATATACTGGGAAATTGCAAGGAAAACAGACACTACGATTGTAATCTTGCCTGACCGGGAATCGAACCCGAAGCCGTGTCATGGAAAGTGAGCACGCTGTGCAATGAGCTAAGCCGACAGGCATACAAAATTCGTATTACATTTCTTCTCAAAACACAAAAACAATTAAATATTTTTATAATATAATTTTGAAGATCTGCAACATGAAATGTTTAAAAACATTTTTTTTTTAAATTGTCCCAAGATTGGGGGTGGGCAGTTGCCCCCCTTACCCCCTCCTGAATCCCGCCACTGCTTGTCCTATCCTCTCTCCTTACTTTCACACCCTTACACTTAAATGAACCACACTACCACACATATCGGGAGATCAGTCGGGAGCTTGGACCTCGCCTCGGCCAGGGGAGATAACGGGAGAAGGAAATCCCCTGCAGAACGACGCATACCTGGCGCCTGACAGACACGAGGTAGGGCACCACCTACTCTCGGAGAAAACATTCACTACACTAACGGGACTAATGACCATAGCAGTTGACGTAGCCGGTGGCCGTAAATAATTCGATCGATCGATCGAATCTACAAACGCTCTGCCGATCTACGCCTTTAAAGGCAGAGCGTCAGCTAAATTTACCTCATATTGCTTCATGCATTTAAATGCCAAATGCGCCATCTACGCACATAAGCCATCGGGTACACATCATCAAGAAATAGATTATTTCTTCCACAAAACGACACAAAATGCACGTAGGTACTACAGTAGTAACACCATTTATCTCCCTGCTTAATGATGTCCGAAAGTGTAAAATCAACAATGCAAGAGTACTTACTTGTAGTTTGTACACCTGCGAATACCCAGCACTGTCCATATTTCACGGGTTTCTTTGTCTTGTAATATTTCTGCAAGATCTTCATGCTGCCGATCCACTTCCACGGGGGAGTGCCTCCGCTGTGGTCGGTGCTCCAGTTGCCGATCAGGACTCCGCCGTCATCGGAATGATTCACCTGGATCGACAAAACAGTACGGCGCATTGGGTTAGTTCATTTTTATACAATTTACAGAAACACGCTATATAAGTAATAAACAAATAATGATGCAGAACAATATCACTAAGTGCACACATCATGCCCAGATTTAGCACGGAGCGGCCGCCCTGAGGCCCCTGCAGTGCGGGGGGGGGCGCAAATTTCATACTAAAGCGCACACGGAATGTCCGAGTCAGGAAAATATAAAGAAAATAAGGAAATGTAGGGACAGACGCCAGATCAAATGCCACGTAGTCTCTCTCGTTCTCACAAGCGAGAAACGTTAAACGAGACTGGACCATACAAAACCCTTGCATCGACAGCGCCTCTGAGAAAGAGACAGCATTCTCGCAGCGAGTAATCCTCGCTGCGATCTATTAGATTGCTAGAAACATTTTGTCTTATGTGACTATTGTTCCGGGTGTGTCTTCTCAGGTGCAGCAATCGAATGTGATATTATATTACAAGGGCTCCCGCGTAAGTCCGGTCCGTAGCCGTTGGGAAGGTTAATCCGGTCCCGATACAGACGTTTAGTACTTTTTCCACGATATATATTTTCTAAGAATAAGTACTTGACATCAATCCTTTCAAATCCCTATAATTACACTCAACCCCTTAAACTAATCACTTCACGTACGACATATTTTCCTGAAAACGTAAATTTCTTACCAATAAAAATCTCCAAGACCTTAGGTCCTAACAGATAATACAATATGATTTATACCCCATAACAAGCAAATTTTGGCGTTGTGTCCTACGTTTACGCCTACGTCCTACGCTTCTTTAATCAATGGATGGATAAGAGTACATTTAAGATGTATTTTTCAATGTGATATTTAAAGTGTTTCGTATAGTCTCATCTTTTACCATTAATACATACTTTAATAAATATAATGAAGTTTTAATTCTAATGTTTCTCATACTAATGGCAATATATGTTAATAGAGTGTATTCAAAAAACAAAAATCTTACAGCAGCTGAGAGAGCTCTACAAGTTGCAACTGCATCAGATCGACTGGCAATGCTCATATTTCCAACTTTTGTCATTACATAAACAGCACACTCAAGGATGTCCTTCTCATACTGAGCGTATTTCCATGCAGAAGGCAAATAATTGTTTTTATTTCCTTTCCACAGGAGACCAGTGTCAGCCAGCACGTATTCATCGCAAGCATCAGCGTTATCAAGGAACACTTGATCCTCTGAAACAAAAATGATTCACATTTATAATATTAAAAATATTTAGTGATAAAAAAATTTTGTATTTATGGTTTTTAGAATTACAAAAGACATTTTCACATTATAAGTTCAAATAATAAGTTCAAATATATTTTTAAGAGTGAAATATCCACTCACTTTGACTCCAGGGATTAAATAAAACATAAATAGGGTCTTTATGACTGTAACTGACTGCTCCATCATTTCTGAGCTTGGTATCAATATCCATTTTCCATTTGCCAACAATTGTGTCAGCTGCAGTTGTGATCTGAAATTGAAATTTAATCACATTACCATAACAAAACTTTTTCGCAGATACTCGTATTTGAAGCATGGATCTTTCCCTGAACAGAGGAAGACTGGAAGGAAAAAGAAGCTGCGAAAAGCAACACCTCGCGGCCGTGAGTGTCTTTTTCTCGTGAGTTGGCGAATAAGAAGCATCTACAGCACTTATGCCTATCATTATTAGCATTCGAATTAAGTCACATGATTACATTCAACTTAAAAATAGAACGAAACAAACCGCTCAAATGTAATTTATCCGGGCCTGCTGTAAATGATGCAGTTTTGATCGAGCAGATTCGCACGTGAGCTTTATTGAAGTCCGTATGTTTCAATGGATTCTTTACAGTTTCTTTCTTAAAGAAAAAAAGCATTGATCAAACGAGCCATATCACAGTTGTGAGCAAAGTATCTAGCTACTAGAGTTCGCAGGCACTGCGTTCAGGGAAACTGGCGCGATATATAAAAATACGGGTTGTGTACACTTCTCCGAGTGATGGTACATCACTGGAATCCTAGCCCATGAAGTCTTTTCGAGAATTTAATTGACAGCTATTGCCCTAATTTTAGGAATATGAATCCCTTTTCTCTGCTAAAGCAAATAATTTATCATTATAAATGAAGTACCTCAGTAACATTTGAATGAATCAAATGCGAATAAAATAAAATATCTTGATTTCAAAGGATTTTCATTTCGCAATCGCGTTTATTTAAGAGTGCGATAATTGCATTAACTTCCAACGACCAGGTTGGAAACAAAGATTGTTGGGTGTTAACATAGCTGTTCGTTCGTAAGAATGGACTACAACAAATCTAAGAGGATGTTTTACAACGGAGATAGACTACGTAGACTTGTTAAATTATTTATAATTATTGCTAATTACAACAAATAACGGAATAATTTATTAAAACATAACACGAATCAAAAAACAGGCAAAGAATTTGCCATACAAACGCATTCATGTTCCCGGGGAAAATGATAACACAAGGCAGGATGTTAAAAGGAAATAAAAATAAAATAAAGTAATAAGTAATAATGTATGTAAACATAATTCAAATCTGCTAGAAAGCATGTTTTCGTATGAATCATTCATTCATCGTGATGTTTCGAGTGCGCTTTTTTCAGATCGTCCCTCTTGCAGAGTACACCCCCTTCTGTTGGGAATTGCGAACGCATTCAGGGGAAGTGGCCTGTGCTATCAGAAGCGCAGGGCTACCCAAGCGGGCAAGTAGCTCGTGCGGTCGCAGCTTGGAATGCCTAACTTACTTAATGCAACCTACAATGTTCTATTTATATCCTATCTTCTTAGCTACTGGCAAAAGGTCACCACCGCAAGAGCTCGAAGCTAGGACCTACTGGCCGTGTGCACCTGCCTACGGCAGCGAAGGGTGTTTGCGTGAGTTGTTCATAATCGAACCGATTGACACCGCCGCGGTGCACCGTTAACGGCCTCTTTAGTTATTTGCAGATGCATTTCACAGTGCACACGTATTCTGCAGTGCCACAATACACATCTTCACCCTCCTTGCTATTCCAATGATTCATAGGAAATATTGGGTACACCTCACACACCCTTATACACTTTCAGAGTAACTTGTTCGTACTCTATTATTTATACTTCTGATATTTAAGGGTGGCGTTGAAGCCATTTCTAAATATCTCACGTCGCCAAATGAAATCAAATATTTTCCTGATATGTTCATGTTTTATTGTTGGCGTGACAAATCCGGATACTTTCATTGAATCAAATACAAATAGCCTTCGCAGCTCATATTTCATTCGATCATTTCAGGGCTCTCACTTCGGCAGATTTAGCTGAAGGAACTGACTGATTCCAAAAATGTAAAAGTAAAATATTTGTTTATAAGTTGATGTCGAACGGTGAAGTTGGTTCAAGGTACAATGGAATATAAATTAGTCATCCTTTATATTTGTTTAATCATGAACTCAAATATTTGAAGGAGTGAAGAAAACAAAATCTACAGACACGGGACGAAGAAAACAATAAACTCAGGCAAGAAATGGTGGATACGGGAGGAGGGAATTGGGACCATGCCTTCAAAGTATTTTTGTTGTTGTAATTTTACTCAACTTATTCAAAACATTTACTCCATATTGATAGTTTCGCATCTAAAAAAGCATATCTATTATGATTTACAGTTTGAATTTCAAAATGCCGAAAATCTACTTTGATTGGATTTTACCACTGCTATTTCTGAAGATGCGTCACCTGTGCCGGAAGACCAGTCGGAAGTTTGTCTCGGTAGGAGAGGTGGGAGGTGCCTAGTTGGGGGAAAGCCCGTCAACCGACGTGTAGGTTGGCGCCGGATTTCAGCATCACGTTGGAGACGACCACCTCCCTCTCCGGATAAAAACGTATGCACTACACTTACAGTTCTAACAACCTTAGCAATTGACGCGCACGGGATCACTAATCAATCAATAAAACAATCAAATTCATCCTAACATGTTTTTGGGTTTCTGGGTTTCCAGAATTTATATTGTACATTTCAACAAGCCGAACCTCTATTGCTGGTTCTAATAAAGATACCTAGCTGGCAGAGGTCGCTACGGCTGAAGAGCCGTAGCTGCCTAATGCATTAAAGTCGCTGGTTCGAGTCTCGCCCAGGGCGTGGAGTTTTATACCTCCAGTGTTACTTTCAGTGGCCGCAGTAGAGCTTAGTAGTTGAAAAGCGACCTTACATAAACAAAACAGTGAAGGTGTGGCCAGTGGCGCTTACCTGCACCTGGATGACGTCCTCTGTGTTGGCGAGCAGCGCGGCGCTCCACGTGCCGCCCGACTCCTCGCCCTTGTCCAGCAGCGGCACAGCGACCAGCGTCCCTTGTCCGTGGCTGGGCTTCTCGGCGTCTGCGCACAGAGCGATGCATGGATTGGGGCACAAAAATCTCCTATTGTAGCCTCTAAAATAGTGCAGACAGCGCAGGGAGTAATGTCTCAGATCCCTTATTTTCAGAATACTTCTTAAATTTTGATTCACGGATTAGGCATGTTCTAGACAGATCTAACGATCTTCCAGTTTGTAACTTAGAATCTTTTTATTACCTACGGTTTGCCAGGGGCAGAAGTGTCATCTAAATTGGTCCGAATCTGGTCAAAATCAACAAATACCTCACCTGGTTACTTACTAAGGAAGTTAGAGAAAGAAAAGGTCCATTTAAAATTAGCTCAGAAATGTCTTATAGGCGCAATGCTATTTTAGAAGCCCTACTTGAACGACATAGTCCGACGATCCAACCTGACGGTTCCACAAAACGAAGTAGCAAAGTGTGCTTCACTTCTAGTTTAAGAATTACGTAGATGCTCAAGAAGAAAGTATATGAATATTCAAAAAAGTACAATGAATATAAACTTTTTTATCATGCTCTCACTTCAAAATCGTGCAGAAATACTCAACTTTATTAGACGACATTTAATTTTCTAGTCTCTGCATGTTCTTTTAATTTCAGGTAATAAAACGAACTACCAAGGAGAATACCTTTAAGTATTACAGTATTTTAAAAAATTTACGAATAATGCTACACATTCACATACTACATGAACTGATCAGTTACATATGTTATGAAATTTTAATTTCTTAATCTAAAACTTGTTCTTTTTAGTTTAACGGGAGAAAATTATGCGCTGAGAAAACTTGCAGATCTGACCGTCTAACGTAATTCAACCAAGCAATCAGTAAAAAAAATGTTGAACACATATTTTAGAGAGATAATATTTATTAAAAATAAAAGATATGGCTATGCAAAATAATTGAAAAATCATCGACATTGTTTTCTTAACAGCGAAAAGTTCTCTTACGAAATGACACGAAATGAAACCATCTGATGACGAAAAGACTATCGTAATGGAGATTGCTACACTATTGTGACTGGTAATACCGATGTTTTGGGGGCTCAGTGGGACCAGCACATCACGTGAATCACTCGGTAATCACAACACGCACTCGCGTTATGCAACGAGTTAGAAGAACCCGCGTGGATATGGGGGAACAAAAAAGATAATGGCGTTTTTTTGTTTGTTTTTTAATTTTAAATACGTAGCCACACTCATGGCTTTTAACGATGAGGAGTTAGGAGTATTACTAGTTTAAACTCTTTTTCGATTTATTTTAGTAGGCAATTAAAATGCATGGCAATATACAAACGATCATTAAACAAGCCCCATTATAGTGATTATTACTGTTTTAATTACGTCGGACAGTAAGATAATTAATGGTTAAGGTATTGGCATCTTATCTACTAAACTATACCAGAAAGCCCTATGACCGATTCTATGACGTAAGAAAGCGAACATTTTGGATGTTGCATTCGAATGTATAAGCGTTCAATGGAAACCCGACTCCCAAACATTATCCACACACGTCGGATATGTATTACAAGTATATTCACTTTTTCTAAATATTGGAAAATTTTGAAATCAAAAGAAAAGTAGATTTTTTCTATATAAACAAAAATAAAGCTGCAAAAGTACTTGACGCAGAGAATTTTAAAAGGAAAGGTGTAAGCATTTGAAAAAACATTTAAGAAGAAAATGTGTAATAATTGTTATTAGGGCATGTAACGTTGACGGCTAACTCATGTAACGTTGTAAAAGATTTGAAAACATGTAAACAAATAACACATTCTTCAGTAACATTATGTCTATCGCGTAAAGCGTAGAAAAAGTCGCTAGTTACCCAATAGAAAGGAATGTGTCAACGCAACGCATTCCCAAAGCAATTAGAAGGCGAGGATCGGAGATATGCTCAGAAAAAGTGTTTGAAGACTGACCTTCCTCAAACCACTTGACAGTATCCTTTGAGCGCTAGCCAGGCTTCATCACAGACTTCTAGTCCGGTCTCCCCACTCTGACGAGTTTCGAAGATTTCATTTGTCATCTGAACATCACAAGTAAGTGTGCTCTATTCAGCGACTAACATCCATTTGACCCCGCCCAACATCGTATGAACTTACTATTTGATTGCATAAACTCGTCTATAAATGAAAGAAATGTAGTACGCTTTATCAAATCCGAATTTAGAATGCTAAACGTCTTGATTCTAATCAACAGTGCGTCGCTTTTTATTACGATGTAAGCTGTGAGGAACATTTAAAACAGATGTAGATAAACATCCCTGACCACTCGTGTTTAAAGACCCGTAAGTCATTATCTGTGACGCGTCATAGTACAGCGCCGACAAGATTTGTCCATGAAAACAGCTTCAAGGTTACTTTGTCTAAGACGGATCAACTGAAATCTCTGAATCTCGTCTTAAAAAATAAACTACAAATGGTTGATATTGCAATATTTGTGCATCAATGAACAGATGTGTGACCATTTTGTTATACTAAACACAAAATTGAAGTGATGATTTTTTTGCTTTATATCAATTCAGATCTGTCGTAAATTGACTTACATAAGGGTCAAAAAATTATTTTACACATTGGTATGGGAAGTTTTTGGATCTAACCAAAAAAAGATGAAAAGACAAAAACATTCTTTCAATACAATTTAGGGGAGGTCACACTCTACTAAGAAATTAAATTAAATAATCTTACATATAAAAAACGTAACGGATACATAGGAGGTGTCCAGGATTGGAACATGAGGAATTGAATGAAACTCGGCAGGATGGTACTTAATCCTCAATTAATGTAGCATATTTGTACAACATGATGCCCACGCCCTTTAGAGATTCTGGCATGAACGGCCGAACGCAAAAGCACTCAGACTGAGCTAGCCTCGAGGAGTTGTCTGTTGGTGCAGTCGATAAAATATTCGCGTACTTACATCGAAGTCGATCATAGAAGTTTGTAGTATAAATCAGCCGAATATAAGATGCCTAATATCTTAACCATTCAAAACATTCCTTGTAAAGAAACACCACAATACCGAAATTTCCAAGTTCAATTCTGGATTGGGATGATTTAGTGTTTGCTTTTCGTCTTCTTATCAATTATAATATATCAGAAGGCAGTTTATTCATTTTCACGTTATTGTCGTTTTTCTCTTTAATTGCGCTTTTTTTTATTTTTTAAAGTAAGTCATTTGCGTTAGAGACAAGTAAATCAAAAACAATATTTGAAATATTTTGAAGGTATGCGTTGGCAGTAAAAAAACAGCAGCTACAGCAGCAGAGATTTGAACAATTAACATTCGGCATGCGATTTGGAATTAATACCGAACTGATCCGACAGGTCTTTTGACAGTGTCAAGTGATCACTGCTCGTCAATCAAATTGAAACTGTACATTATATAATGTTTTCTAAGATAAATGGAGCTAAAATCATCTTTTTCATTTAATGAAAAGGATTGGATGCATTAAATACCTTCCTTTCCATCTGCAAATTGTTAATTACAAAATCCTTTTTCAGTAGATATATCAAACGCCATCGACATAAACCGTCGTAAATGAGCATCTGCTAATGACGGAGTTATTACTCAAGATGCCTAAAACATATTGTAGTCGACAAATTTGAAATAATGCAGATAAATAAATCGCCTGGCGTACATGCAATCGACAACATACGTTTCTCTGTAACACATCATCGTGAAAACCGAGCGAACTAGGCCCTTAAAATTTGTTTTCCGGTCCCTCAAGAAAACTACGAGGTTTTCTCTTAGTTCATAATCTATAATTATTGCATTCACTTATTGCTGAGACCTTTTGAATCTTTATTAGTTTTTGGAACGTTTATCTCTAAGCGATATTTCCCTTCCCTAGCATGGATGGTCTGAAACGTGCAGAACCTAGAAATTTATGTGAAATTGAAAATAGTATTGATATCCTGTGCAATTTAATCCCATAGGTCTAAGAATTATGTTCGTTTGAAACGCTTAACAATATTAAAATGTTCAGCAACAGGCCTGCATATAATGTATTAGACAGTACCCTGGTCTCACAAGTGGGGTATATTACGCATAGACGTTTCTATTATCTAGACAATAAAATTTAGGCATTTCTCACGTAGACAAATTATATATCACGTCCGTAGACATCAAATACTTATGTAAATCTAAATGTAGGCGAAGTGGTAGGCATTCTCCCTTGGGCCTGCACTTAACCATCTCGTGCAGGGCTGACGCGGCGCGGCGTACCTTCAACGGTGAAGATGAAAGAGATGGCGTCCTTTGCGGCGTCGTAGGCACGGTTGAAAGTGATGGAGAGCAGGAAGCCAAAGCCACGGCGGACCACGAGATTCGGGTTCTCCGCTCTGCCCATCACCTCGAACCATCCTGTGTGGTGCTCTTTGCCATTCTCTTTCAGGTGCAAGTCCAAAGACTTCACCACGAGAATATCTTGCCTTCCGTCATGCTCTGAAACAAAGAAAACGTACCAATTAAAATCATGTACTTTGGCAAACACTTTGGCATTGGTTAAAACTACATTCCTTCTGAAAGACAAATGCAATAACTTGCGAAGTAGCAAAATGTATTAAGATTCAATATATTCGTGCTAAGTGAAGATGATATGAAACAAGTACATGAGGTAACATATATATCAATAACAAATAGAAAAGTTGTGGGTTTCTAATAACTTTTTTACAAAAAAATGAAAGAAATTAACGAGAAGATATAAAGAGCAACAATGTATTTCTTTAATTGGTTTCGAAATAATTGTTTTTCCTTTGACGGTCTTCATTTTTTCCAGAGCATCGAGTGAATCCTTCATAGATATCTTAACCAGCTCTATTGTTTGTTTAGATAGGTAGGGGCACGGGCGGCCCGACAGCAACGGCTCGGCAGTTTACCCACGATGTTCTGCGCCTCTTACGATAAAGTCAACCGAGACGGGTGATTTCCGAGAAGCGGCGCGCCTGGCCGCCGTCACCTTCTCCCGTGCGTTCATTTTTAGCCTCCGAGGAAGCGGCCGCGATAGGGCGCTGGCATCTGGCGCTCGCCTCGAAACGCGCCGCTCGCATGCGGCTTCCGCCTTTGGGGCGGGCGGGGGCGGTCCAGCGGGTAGGCGAAATCCTCGAGGAGGCGCAGGCACGCAGGGCTACACTCCACTAACCGTTATTCACGAAACAAGTACGGTAAGACATTCGTCCAGAGATCGTAGTTTGAAATGATTAGAATAATAAATAAATAATTAAATAAGCGTCGGCGATTGGGGATGCAGCAGGAGTGTTCCGATTGAAGAATGATTAGTGTTTACTGGCGCGTCAACTGCTATTTTCTCTAGTCCCGTAAATGTAGGGCGTGTTTTCCGGAACCGACGGAACGTGAGATCCGGCATCGACATACATCGCCTTGCGGGGTTTTCTCTCCCCAGATATGTTCGCCAGAGGGGTGGAGCACCCGGAAAAAGCTCTCCGATCTCGACTGGTCTCCGATAGGAGTGGGAGTGTAGTGCATGTGAATGTGTTTGTATGTATGAGAGTGTGAAAGGGTAGAGGAAGGAGCGAGGATCAGAAAGCAAGATCACGCGCCATCGTGGCCCGTTTGTTAATTCATTGCTCCATTATCAGGCTGTTACTTATTGAGGAAACCACGAACAGCCACCGATCAGAGCAGCCGGTCGATAGAATTTTCCTCGAACTTATTTCAACCAAATGTCGCAAAACCGCCACCATCGGGATCTGAACATTAGACCTCTTGGTCAGAGACACCAGAGTAGTAACTGTTGTTGCCTTCTAAAGCTGTTATCTCAGCAGGTACATGTCTACCAAGTCACTACACATAAGCGATTTGTGGTGGGATAATCGAATAATTTAAAACATGTCTGAAGCTGATAACGTTCGAAAGAAAGAAAGCAAAGATATGAAGAATGCAATTCAGTACAAGTTCGTACAGGAGAAAATTGTTGATAAAAGGCGAAAAAGACGATCTCCTTTATATCAAGATATCGATGAAGAAAATGAGGACGTAGAGTTAACTTTACACTTCTAGCCAAAATAAAATAAACATCAGTAACAAATTATTATTATTATTATTATTATTATTATTATTATTATTATTATTATTATTATTATTATTTCATTTATTTAATTCTTTGTTGAGGTTACATTTTCAATTTACATGAAAGCTTTGCTATTGTGTGACGACTTAATTTAATTAACTTAATCTACGTTAAAATTGTACATAACTAATATTAATATAGGGAGAGGAAACAAGAAGCATCTCTGGAGAATTATTCAATATTTGCAAATATCTGGAGGAAAAATGGAGCGGGAATCTGTTCTTAATTCTGGTTTTGTATCTGGGATCTTTTACACGTCTGTAGTGAATTTATGCCTTTGTAAAGGATAAGTTTGTGTAAAAGTTGTTTGATAGGAATGCTATTTGGTGTGCTATTTCATTTATGTTTACATTGTGATGTAACTGTTTATTACTAATGAACCATGATGCTCTTGTCGTTAATCTTAAATATTTGATTTGAAATACTAGGAATTTCTTGAAATTGATTTTGGAGGCATTGGTACAGATTGGGTATGCATATAATAGTGTTGGGCGAAGGAGTGATTTGTGTACTGTTAGTACATTTGACAGTGAGAGATGGTTGTATGAGTTTAGTAAAGGTCTTAATTGGATGAGTTTGGATTTTGCCTGTTGTGCTTATTTCTAAATTTAATCCAAGATTTATCATTGTTTTCGTGATTGCGGTCCAATTTATAGCATTATTATTTATAAGTGGTGGATATGAAAAGCTTTTAATGAGAAGACTTTTGCAGTTGATTTTGGGGTATTTAAGTTAATTTTCCAGTTATTCGCCCAATTTTGTATTAGATGTACATGCTACTGGAGCTGGAATTGGTGAGTTTATAATAAATTGCCGGAGATATATAATGCAGTATCGTCAGCGATTTGGCGGAGTTTATTTGATGAGAAGTAGGAATGTCTGCAGTTAGAGATTAAAGAGAGTTGGGGATAGCAGAAAAGCTTGAAGGACACCAGCAGCAATTTATCTAGGATTAGAACAATAACCATCTATTGAGTAACAAATTATAGTGAAGTATTTCAAATTCTTTAGTGACGATTAGAATAAACTGTCGGTTATTCACTTACTCTTATACAATAATTCAATATTGAAAACGGACATGCATCCATTTAGAATAAAATTCCTGGCCACATAAAAGAAAGATTTGTTCCTTCGAGCGCACTTGAAGGTGTTCGCACGCATATAAAATTATTAATAGATCAAAACCATCTTCTACACAAGGACAAGGCCCATCGGCATTCTTCGCGTGAAAAGCAATGCCGCTAACAGGCGAAATGTATTTCTTGGAAGCGAGACCTCGTTGGCGGCGTGCGCGGCGCAGGTGGGGCGGGGCACGACCGGCCTAACGGGTGTGGCCGTGCGCGATCTGCCACTGCGAGCACCGGGAGGCAATCGCCCTGCAGCCAGCGGCCTTCGCCCCTGGGAGACGCTGCTACCGCTCAGGGAACGAGGTGAACCGCAATGAGCGCTTTGCCAAAAATTATCCTCCTGATGATTGTTTTCATTGATTGATTGATTAGTGTCAAATGCTAGGGTCATTAGTCCCGTAAGTGTAGTGCATGTCCATCCCCCTGTGAGCTGGCGGTGATCTTCGCTCGCTTTATGGTAAGGTCTGGCGCCGATCTACCGTCACCGGCTGGCTGTGTTTTCTCCAACCAGGTATCTCCCACCAGCGGGGCACCGCCCCAGCTAGGACAAGCTCTAAGCTCCCGACCGGTCTCCCGGCATGTGTGGTAGTATAATGCATGTTAGTGTAAGTGTGCGTAAGTAATTGGTGAGGATAGGGCAAGCAAGAGGAAAGAAAGATCGCGCGCGGTCCGTGGCCCGTTTGTTAGGGTACTGCTCCGGTATTTGCCTCAAGTTGATAGGAGAAATCATGAAAAATTACAGATCAGAGGAGCCTGTCGCTAGAATTATCCTCCAGACAGCGGGTGAATTCGACCTATCTAGCGGGTGTCGGAAATTCTGTCACCACCGTCGGAACTCGAACCAGAGACCTCTTGGTCAAAGGCACTTTCGTGATATCAGTTGATCCTGAGCCATCTGTCTCACCGTGTTTACTAGAAGCGCTATTTTTATAACTGTGCATATTCAAGGGGAGAAACAATAGAAAAATGTGGGGAGTGAGAACTACATCGAAAAATCAAAATACCCGTTTTAAATTCAAGGGGAGCAACATGAACCAGAACGATGAAGGGACTTCAATTTTTCGTGTAAATTCTGCGTATGGTTTAGCCGCTTGAGTTGTTCACAGGCGGATAGAGAGACGGAAGGGCGGACGTAATTCAATTTCTCGGTAAAAAAAAACACAAAACGTGCATTCTCACTACACAGTGTATTAGACGAAGAAATTTATTACATACATGGAGATATTTTTGATGACAAGACATTAAGAGATCTTGTGATTTTATTCATCTGTGTTACGAGGAAGCGAAATTTCCATTACTCATGAACTTACGTCTGGGATATATATATATGTATATATATATATATATATATATATATATATATATATATATTTAAAGCATTATTTGTAATATGAATATCAGCTGTAAAATTTGATAAGGGAATTCGAGGAAATTAAAATACCATTGTGCAATTTCTACCGCGCTATTTCTTACATATACCCACTCAAATCAAAATCAAATGCAAAAATACTTTTGCGTCGCACTTCCAACAACACCTCAAAGGTCGACTTGATAGTGCCCCTCGTGCAAGCAGCTGACGTACCTCAGAGTCAGCACTGCCGTTACCTCTGCAATTTCTCATCGGAAGGTCCTAGGATTCGACTCCCGACGGTGGAGGATTAGTGACAGTAGCTAACCGAGGACAAATTCAGTCGCTGTCGGGAGTAGAATTCTAGAGGCCGGCTGCTCTGATCGGTAGTTTTCTGTGGTTTCTCCAATCAAAACATTGTGAATGCCGGAACAGTACCCTAACAAACGGGCCACGGACCATGCGCGTTTTCTCTCTCCTTCCTTGTTCTGTCCTCCCTCCTCACACACTTACATGCAGTACACTACCACTCGGGAGTCAATTGGGAGGGATCTCAGCATTGAGGACGAACACCGCCATCTCCTGGGATACGCCATTCCTACACAACGTGACTGATGATCATAGCAGTTAACGTTCCCGGAAACATCAATTAATCATTGAAACCGCGCGTGCAAGAACACGGCGGCGGCGGCGGCGAGGCGTCTTCGCGAGCGCACAGCATCCGCGGGCGCGCGGTCGGGGCAGGGCGGCGGGGCGGGGCGGCGGGCGGCGAGGCGCCGGTGCGGGCGAGGACCTTGGCGCGAGCGCGGCCGCTGACTGCGGGGCTTATTCGAGGGCTGACGGTCACGCGCCGCGCGCTGGGTTTTAACAGCGCCGGGGC